AAATCCAAACATTGTCACTGAAATTGCTTTTTCAGCACTGCAATTCTTTTTTTTACACAGTACAGTAATACAATCTTTCACAGACATGTTTAAACAATAAACATAAGCAACACATTATTTAATGCTTTTTACTTTTGCATTTAAATTAGATTTATATATTAAGTTGCTCAAGCAAGTGGCAAAACATTTAAACTACTTTTCTTACATTATCACAAACTTACCATTGCCAGAAACAGTCAGCTCTACTGCCTTTCCTTTTGCATTTAAATCTTTATTATATGCAATCCTGCGGTTCATAAAGAACTTTGTTTTTCTACCTGCCATCTATTATTGCCTTGTTTATCTAAAAGTGCTCTTTCCCTTTAAACCTAGCCAAAAAGCCATATGTGTTGACTGTGAAACACAGTAGACTTAAATAATATGCACTTATGGAGTAATTACTAAATTTTCGTGTCAATCCATGTTCATATTTACTGCATAAATGGGCTGTTACTTTAATTCAGCGCGTGCAGCGCAGCAAAAATAGACTCGGTGGTGCTGAAACGATCTCTGCACTGCTGCAGACGCACCGCTCCTGAACGCACTGTCGGACAGCAACGGTGTGCCGTGTGCACGCTTTATTAATTCGTTAACATGAGCGCGGAAAAAATATGCACCACATACGCACTGCAAACGGAGTAATGTGAACCTGGCATTATGTGTGTGCGAGTGTGCATGAGCGCACAGTCTCCAGGAGAGCGCGCGAGCGCAAAAATAGACTCGGTCTGGAAACGATCTCTGCTCTGCTGCAGACGCACCGCTTGTTGAACGCACTGCCGGACAGCAACAGTGTGCACGCTTTATTAATTCGTTAACATGAGCGTGGAAAAAATACACACTGCAAACGGAGTAATGTGAACCTGGCATTATGTGTGTGCGAGTGTGCATGAGCGCACAGTCTCCAGGAGAGCGCGCGAGCGCTGAATGGTTAAACACTGGCGATAATTAAAAAGTTATGCAATTTATAAACTTTAGTGACGATGTGACACTGTCTCGATTGTGCAAGTGACAATTCCTGTGTCCACTGTGCAGCTAGTTTATAGACAGACGCGATGTAGTGATTTGAAGACATTTGCGTATTTTGAAAGAGTGTGTGCGTGGTCATTCACTCTCGCTGTTTGTGAAATTACGTCTCACACAAGGTTTTCAAATTACTTTATAAGTTATCTAATGAAGAAATATGAAGGTGAGTACCTCACCTTCAGCATTATAATGATTTCACCCACGCCGGACAGAGACTGAGAAGGTGCAGCTGCATGTTGTGCCAAACCTCTCATGGCAGCGTCATCAGCTTGAGATCGTTTTTTTTGAGATCTGCCTTTTTAGAGACCGCCGATCAATCATCCCAACGTGATTATCGGCCGATAATGATCGGTAGCCGATCAATCGGAGCACCCCTAACCGAAATATAATATTTTGTGATATGTGACTACTATGTCATATTTAATTATATTTTACATTTTTAACTTTTCACTGTAATGCAAAAAAAAAAACTTTTTTTCTATCTATGAATTGGCATAATTACAGCAGTACAATTAGTACTATTGAAAATTAATTTAAAAACATTGAAAAAAAAAAAGATAGAAATCAGACCTTTTCAAAACTGGTTATGCAAGCAAAACAGGCAAAGAAATAAATGTAAAGCCTAAACCTCTCAACAAGTTTCTCAGAAACCTGTGAAGAGTTGAACACATGTACAGTATAAAGGCCACCTGAATACAAGAATTTCTCTTTACTGAAAGAACATCATAAAACAGATGAATAGAAAGATTATATTTTGAGCAAGAAAATTGTTATTCAGCTTACAAAACCAGCTTCTATTGATGATTCATACGTCTTTCATGTTGACCTAACTCCCAAGGTCAAGTTCAGCATCAGACGGTGCATTAAATTTGCCAATGAGCTATTCCCATACCACCATGAGGTAATTGCTTTTATTTGCCATGGCAACAAAACCACACCAGACAACAAATAGCCTGTAGGGTGGACCCTAGGGTGGGTTATGCCACATGCCAGATACTCCCTTATAATATCTGCCATCTAGCTGTAATGTTTAGCTCCAGCGGTGATTACATCTGCCCGTGTGTCTCCAGTGATCATAACAAGAAGCTCTTACTGACTGTAGCATAATAAAGCAAACAGTGTATGGCATGTTCTAATATATATGGCCATATGTGTGAATGCCAGCAAGAGCCAACAGCCAAATCTGTGCCGGTGGTGATTATATTTGCAAAGCATATGACTCCCACTCACCTACTGTATGCCATTGCTTTTTGAGTTTACTGCACTGTGCACAAGTTTGGGGGTGTAGTAGTGGCTATAGATCAAGATTGAGATTGAAATGCCTTGTCAGCTTGAAACAAAACAGTTTTTTATATATATATTTTATATATTTTTATGCTGATTTGAATATAGGCTATATCTTTATTTTTGTAATTTAAAAAAATCTATTAAAATAATCTATTTAATTATTCAGAAATTCTTCTAATAGGCTGATTTGCTGCTCAAGAACCATTTATTATTAATACTGAAAGCAGTTGTGCTGCTTAATATTTTTGTGGAAACATTGAATTTTTTTTCAGGATTCTTTGATGAATAGAAAGTTCAAAAGAACAGCATTAATCTGAAATAGAAATATTTTGTAACAACGTCTTATAATAAAATTTTATGCATTGGTGCTGAATACAGTTAATTTCTTTCTTTCTTTCAGAAAATCTTGCTGACCCCACATTTTAACAGTAGTGTGTGTGTGTGTGTGTGTGTGTGTGTGTATAATATATATATTATTTATTTATTTATTTAAATATAGCAATAAATATATAGCAGGCGTTAATAAAAATATTAAAGTGTTCACTGTCTAGAGAAATCCAGACTGCCCTTAATGCATCTGCAACATGTCAGACAAACATAATTCTATAAAACAATGAAATTATCCTGACATAATGTCATTATCCTGTCATTTACCAGTTACCGCAGAGTCATATTTGGTATGACCACATCAAGCCTGTTGCTTTGACAGTATCACAGACACATATGCAGATAATTGGACATTGTCCGGGGACGTCGCCAGGAGCAAAGACTCCGTAACCATAGAAACAACATTAATGCTCTCCACAAATCTGAGTCAGAAATATGAAGAGCGTTCTGGAGCTTTCAGAAGAGAAATGACAAAGTAAGCCTCGCCTTAAGATGATGCACTGCACAAAATCAGTCTTTTCCAACTAATTTGCCTGTAATTCTGATAAATGGTGACTGTGATATATTCACAACAGCCAAAGAAATGATATCAATCTTAAAACACGATAACACGCAGCTGCAGTCCCTGGCAAGAAGGCCTGATAAGAAGTGTGGTGAATTTCCAGCTGAGCGCAGACGGGAAGTTTTGGGCCGTTTCGTGTGTTCTCATAGAGGCTTTAAAAGCAGAAAGCTGAGAGTTGCTTCCCTTCATGGTGGATCTGTATGGATAATGGATTCTCCTCAGCAATGAAACCGTATTCCGTACACAAAGACGGAGCAACCTGAGCGAAATTCCTGGTGGACTGGGAGAGGCTTTTTTCTGCTCGTTGTTGTTTAGGGTTTGTGGCATCTCCTGGACTCGAAAGCCAAAACGAAACAATCCGAGCAACGCTATTTCCCCACACCCACATTAAAACACACTTTCCACCACGCTCAGACACAATGCCTGGTTTTATTTCGACGCAGGCTGTCATGGTGACGAGAGCAACAGAGCGAATACAGTGGCTAGTCACAAGCCCCTCTTGACACGACTCACACCCTCACCCCACCAAACACACACAAGACCAGCGCTGACAACAAGAAACAAGCTGCTAACAGCACAACCCCATTCATAAGACTTCACCATGGCCACATACACACTGCAGCTTCACCTTTTAGTGCTTCATCCTGTTCTGTACACACAGTTCAGTAAAACATGGGAGCGACAGCCGTATTTTACAACTGAATTTACCCTAGTTCGCAGGGAGTTTGATTGACAGGCGGTCTGACCAATCATAACGCCAAATCCGCCATTTTTGTTCGACAAACAAATCAGACAAGAGAGTAGATTAACTTCGCTGGACATGAACTTGAAAAATTTATATCTTTCCGCAGTTGGAGGATACCTTCTGATGTTCAAGATACAAGATACTTTCTGATGTTCATTCATGTTTATTTCGTGCTATAACTAGTAAAGAGGAAGATGATCGGTTCATGTGCCGCTTGAACTGAGGCAACACAGCAATCTGTAATGACTAAACAACTGCCACAAAATGGTATTTATTGTTTGAATTTCTTTAAAAAAATTACTACATTTGAAAGCTGAGTCTTTGTTTTATACCAGAAGTAACCTGCTCTGTGTTGTCTGTTGGTATGTTGTCAGTTTCCTCTTTGCTCCGGAAAGCAAGTCCGTGGCCAATAAGAACTATAGTGTGGATTAGGCCACGTTCACACAGCAGAATACGGATGTCAGTCCTGCATCTGAATCATTAATACGGTTGCGTTCACACACATTTCAGTTGTTTACATGAGTGACAACTGTGTTCTATAATCAAAAACACACCCATAAATGATCAGGACTTACAACCGTGTTTTAGGCACGTGTGAACAAAACTGTACTGGACAACTAGTTGTCTGTCACGTCACACAGTGATCCAGTCTCTGTCCTCCTCCAGAGCTACTCCAGACAGTTTTGTGGCATGTGTGCAACTCAAATGTTGTTGGTTAATCAAGATTTGATAGATGAAATCACACATCAATTGAACTTTTGTCATGTCAAATGTGATAAGAGTCTGCAGTTTAGGACATCACCATCTTTGATACTTAAGCTGCTGTGTGAACAGGAAATTTCGAGCCTCACACCTATAAGCAAATGCGCTTATCAATCCCAAACACTGAGAGTGTGAGCGTAGCCTTATATACTTATTATACCTGTCAACAAACAACCTCTGATAATGTGCATTTACCTTCTCTCGTTGTCATCCAGATGGGCAAACAGCACGTTCTTAGAGATGGCTTTGGCCAGGGCGGTCATTGTCTTGTAGTCCTTTGGAATGACCTATAGCCAAAGAAAACCACTTACTAGATGACTACTCATAAAACAAATTATTAGTATTTACTGGCATTTTCAAATTTCTGTGTATTTTCTCAATAAATTGTGAGTGTTGTGCTTGTGAAAAATGTGCAGCCATGATCCTAAGGTGTTGTGGATGTTACCAAGCAGTTGCTGAGGTGTTGCTACAGTAGGTGGTTTCTCACTGGCCCAAGTTCAAAGATCCCAACCACTCAAGTTTCTACGATATCCTGGTCCCCCTTTAACTCATTTTATCATATACCAGGCAAATTTTGTATTGCTTTAGAGAATTATAAGCATAGAACTCCTCAACAAGACAATGATTTGAGGATTTCATTCGTGTTCACAAATGGTGCAGAATGTTATGTTTGTTGAGCAAATTGTCAAATTGTGCCTTATACTCAGGGGTGCACATAAGTGGTACGCAGGTCCACATGCGCGACCAAAATTAAAAATCCCACTACCCACTGCCGTTTTCAAAGCACAATGCAAAACTGTGACATTTCATTCACAGATGCGCTTCAGTCGGCAGCGCTAAACCCGGAAGTGCATATACTTACTTGCCGGCAACCAGCCAAAATAAAAGCCTGCTGATTTTAATTTTGAAAATTATGAAAATTCATCTTTAAAAAAAAGAAGTAAATATTAGCATTTTATGTTTATTTAAGTTTACTATAAAATAGTTGTATTTGTATTTAATACTCCCTTTTTATTTTAAAATATAATAGTATTATCACACTTTATTATTTATCATTCACAGATGCGCTTCAGTCGGCAGCGCTAAACCCGGAAGTGCATATACTTACTTGCCGGCAACCAGCCAAAATAAAAGCCTGCTGATTTTAATTTTGAAAATTATGAAAATTCATCTTTAAAAAAAATAAGTAAATATTAGCATTTTATGTTTATTTAAGTTTACTATAAAATAGTTGTATTTGTATTTAATACTCCATTTTTATTTTAAAATATAATAGTATTATCACACTTTATTATTTAGTTTATTATTTTATTTAAAAATATATATATTTTTTTATTATATAAATATTAAATCTCTTATGAGAACCAGGCTGAAAAACTTATGTGCACCCCTGCTTATACTGCTAATTATTAAAAACCAGATTAACCTTATTAGTCTATAATTGTTACTAAAAATGATTCATTAATTGAAATTAATGAGAAATCAAAAAAAATTAATGAAATAAATATATATATAAGGATTAGATGAAAACCTTAAACGTAAAAAAAAATGCCTTGGCAACAATATTAAATATATAGGTTTAAATTACTAAAATTACTAAAACTGAAATAAAAAAAATGAATTAAAGCTAAATAAAAATATTTGAAAAATATAATAAAATGACTACAAAAAAGTAGTTGTTAATAAGTTTTAATTATTTTAAACTAAATTAAACTCAAATTAAACTGAAAACTGAAAATATTAAAATATATAATATAATAAATTAATTAAAAAGCTAATTAAAAATAATAATAAATATTATAATTGTATAAAATAATGATAAATAATACTAAAATAACAGTCAACCTTATTTACATGCTTAATGTTCCTATTATTGTGTACACTTCATCAGTACATGCTATCCTAAGCAGAAAAGGAAAACAATATTAACCATTAATATAATAAGCCTAACCATCCAATCAAATCCCACTGGATAAAATCCACATCCAATCCCGCATCATTTCCTGCTGAATATTCTGTTTCACTCAGAAAAGCCATATCTCATATAGAGAAAAACTAATGTGAAAACACAGCAGTGACTCTGGCCTATTAGTGACGGGGCGACTGAGACAAAACTAAAACATTCTAAATAGTGTACCTGAAAATAATGCAAATTTAACTGCAGTTTTATTTAAAGCTACACTGGCTAAATATTCCAACCTGTATCTGCTTTTCTAACCTTTCTGACATAGCTGACGGCATCCTCCTCTGTGTAGACCTCGGCGCTGACCCCACCTCTCCGGCGCCGGGCCTTCACCACCGGGTTTGGAGGAGGAGGAGACACTTCATCATCGTGAGAGTCCGATTGCGAGTTGGACTTCTGACGGGCCATGATCTGCTTGCATTCTTCCTGTGGAGAGAGGAAGTGAATGATACGTAAGATTAAACATCCATCTGAAAACATCGAGAGGGTTGTGACCATCTGGATCGCACAGGACACACAAAAACTTGTGCAGAGTTAAAACAGTGGACGCTAAGAGGGTGAAAGAAACTACCATTACAAATCACGATTACAGATCATAAAATCTAAACGACTGACACCTACTGTGAGCACAGAAAGCAGACACAACAGCACTGAGATTTCACTGGCAGAGCGAAAGAGAGACAGTGAAAGATTCCCGTATGAAAGAGGGAAGAACAATAAAGCTGCGTGCCACAGCACAAACGATGTGTGTGTGTGTGTGTGTGTGTGTGTGTGTGTGTGTGACACAACAAGATGTGTACTAGTCAGAGAGGGTACACTCAGTCTTACTGCACTGTACATTCACTGCATATATAGGGTGGACAGAAAAACACAGACCCCTGATAGTATATATTATATATACATATACATACATACATACATACATATATTAATTTATACAATAGCCAAATGTTTTAGCTAGTCATTTATTAGGAAAATAAGTGTGCAAAATAAACTGACAGCTAAACACTTTATGCAAAATGCCACAGCTTAATGTATTATAGTGGATTCATGTGAAGATTGTTATAATATTTGTAATGTTCTGTAACAGTTTAGGCTAATTAGATGTTAAAAAATGATGGCACAATTTTGACTAACGTTGAATGGCTATATTTACTCATTATATCTGCAACAGTGGTATCAGTAATAAGATGCCATTAAACAAATATAAAATTCAAATATACGGTCTTTATGTTGTTTCTAAATTAATTTGGAGATTCAGTGTGAAAATACAATTATGACTACAAATTTTAACATTAGGTGCGATTAATCATGGTTAATTACAGAAAAATGCACAATTAATTAGTAACTGATAGCACTATATATAGGGTAAAAAAGATTTGACACAAAAATGTCACTTTGTCACTGAATATTACATTTTAGTGCATTTCTATGTGGTTGATTACTTGGCCAAGTCATTCTCTATGGCAAATTTTCTATGGCAGAGCTAGGGCCCGCAGGCTAAAGTTATATCACAAGAGTGGGGGGGGGAATAGGAAATACTAGAAAAAATATAATAGTATAATTTATCCTAATTTATCTTTTTGTTTTAAGATTTTTTGTTTTATTTGTCCATTGAAATGTAGAGAAACCGACACCTCTGGCTCTATGACATTCTGGCCGCTATAAATCTGATATCAGTCTGTTAATTCCACAATTAAAACTTTTACAGGATATAAAAGGATAAAGTGTTTGTAAAACGGCATAAACGTCTCCCCCTGAAACATCCCAAGGCACAAATACCAAAGTGAAGGCAGGCAGATGCAAAGGAACAGCTGGGCACATGCCCCACACACACACACAAACACAAATGCACACAAAACACACACATGCTCTCTCTAAAGCTTTAGACAGCCATCAACAGACCTGACCGTGAAATAACACGGAAAGAGTCCAAATGTACTGTGAAATCTGTGAAATCAGAAAACACATATAAGACTAACCATGCATCGATGCACATACTCAAATATAAAATGAGAGCAAACCCATCACAAACACACAACAAAATTAGACTAGTGTCTATACAAAACAATTCAAGTATATGAGGTTGTAACCATACACAATTTAATCAAATTAGATTAGAATTATAAGTAGGGATGCACGATATATCGGCCACCATATCGGTATCGGCCGATAAATGCTCATTTTTTCTGTTATCGGTATCGGCCCGATAAGAAAATTTGGCCGATATCTTAAAGCCGATAAATAATGCATTATTTCCTTCAGAGACACTTCAGATGCGCGCTGTTCGTTTGCAGCCTTTTGTGCAATTGTACATTGTAATATTGTGTTTATTTGATGTATATCTGATTTATCTCATATAGAATGCGTTTGGTTAAGTTAAAAGAGCGCTTCAGTTTACCGGTGATCATCTTTAGCTCAGCGCACGCAGCTCAAACAGCAGTGCACAACATTAATAACTATGATTGGGAATGTCGTGTATATAACATTCTAATGAGAACATTATTATAATAAAACGTTGTGAATTCTTTGGGTTTAGTTGCCGTGTTTCAGCGCGTTGTTATGGGAAGAGCGCATCCACAACAGGATCACACATTCTGACTATAGCACGCAATAACTGCATCATTTTGTACATATATAAGTTGTAATATTATGTTTATGTTGTATTAATATTAATCTCAGGATGCATTTCCTTGAGTTAAATAAGCTGCCAGCAAAACGCTTCAGTTTACCCAGTAACGCATTCAGCGCTTCAGCACGCGCAGCTCAATGGCTGCTATTTAAAAGGCCAAAATTTTCATATCGGTGCATCCCTAATTATAAGACACTGATTTATCATCAAATCTGAATGACAGTTTTGGATTGAAGGCCACAACAAACTGAAAATTGATTCATTTGGATGACACTGAAGCAGTTTAAAAAAGCAGGGAATCATCCCCTGAACAGCATTTTATGTTCCATTATTGCAGTAAAATTGCTGTTTAATACAATGTTTAAGATTTTCACCTGTTCTGCCATTTACAGTTCGTTATAAAGATATGTATTTATTCATCAACAATAATGCCCCCAATATTAAAAACTTCTAAACTGAACAAAGTCATCAATAAATGCTTTGTGAATCAGTTTGACCGAATCATAAAAAAGAATCAGTTCTAATGAAAGAATCATTTGTAAATTGGATCTCCCTGCACAAAAAAAAAAAAAAACACATATATATTTCTAACAAAAGGAATACTGTAAAAGTGCAGATATAGGCCTAATCTACTCCACCATTCAAATGTTTGGGGTCAATACAATATGCTGCTTTGCTGCTCACGAAACATTTATTATTAATAGTTGGGCTGCTGCATATTTTTTTGTGGAAAGAGTTTTTTTTCAGGATTCTTAGAAGCATTTATTTGAAATACAAATCTTTCGTAAAATTCTAAATGTCTATACAGTCCCTTTTGGTCAATTTAAAGTGCCCTTGCTAGATAAAAGTATTCATATATCAAAGTATTTAAATAAAAAGAAAGAAAATCTTATATAATAAAAAAAGTAAATAAAAAAAGGCACCAAACTTTTGAATGGCAGTGTATGTTTGGGCTAAAAGGGGCCCTATTTTACATTTGTGCAACATTTTATTTCTATTTATATAATTGGCTGGCTAACCTCCATATACTGGCATTAGTATGCAACTGGTACATGAGCAAGAGGACAAGTTATTGGCTGATGCTAATCTCAATTCGACCAAATATTGGTCTAGCTGACATGATGATCTATCACTAATACTCTTGCATCCCTAAGTATCATCAGATTCAGAAAAAAAAACTAAAATCCTGTAATCATTTGCTCACCCTCATGTTGCCTTCTAGATAAATAATATCATAACATTAATAATTGCCTTAGCTAACAGGCCTACTAATCAGCCTAGAGTTTAACAGATATTGTCTTAATAAATAATCAAAACATATGAAACATGGAAAAGGTGTGCTAAATACTTCTTAAAATTACATTTAACCAGCTACACTAAAAATAAAAGAATACAGCAAAAACTCATTATTCTACAAACATTATTCTAAAACTGTATATATATATTGTTTTTATTTTTAATCAATGTGAGGCCTTGGAGTCAAAAAGGTTTAGATTTACTGTTGATTCAACATACAAATAAATGTGTTCAACAGCTTGTATTGCTCAGTTGCTATAAATCTATAAAAGCCCTACTATATCCAAAATCCATTTTAAAACCTGCAAATGAACTTTGTAGATTTTTCACAGATCCTGATAAAGTGTACCGTCCACTCAGTTCACACACTCTGCAGCTGCACCAGGAAAAGAAGCGTTATAGAAACCAACGATTTCTCATTCTAAAACATGCAATTATTTCTCACATGTTTGGTATCTATCTATTGTGCTTCACTTGCCAATAATTAAGACACATAAAGAACCTCACTATGAGTGCTAACACAATGACAGTTAATGATCGTGGATGTTTGAGGGAAGTTGAATACATTCATTAACACTGTATCGCAGTGCATTCAGCCAGACTTTTTTCCAAAGCAATATACAGTACATTCATTACAGGAACAATCCTGAGGTTAAGTGCCAGGCCAAATGGGACGGCAATGATCTCAATAATTCTCCAGCTCCGGCATCTCCAGTTCCATGGGAATGAAGAAACATCCTTTACGCCAGCAGCCCAGATCCCTAACCATCACACTTTCCGATGCAAATGCAGAACTTATACAAACACAACCAGCAGCAGAGCAAATACAGTAAAAGTAATGCACCTTCTCCAGCTTCTCGAAGTGCTCCCGCAGGAACTTCATAGGCCGCTCGGGCTTGGCGATGCACAGGTTGACGATGCACTCTTTGAGGATCTGCTGGATGTTGTGTTTCTGCACGAAAACCTCGCAGCCTTTCAGACTTTCGTCTTCTTCCAGATTGGAGGAGGAGGTGGCCATCTTATCTTCTATCACTGCCGCAGGAGAAAAGAGTGAAGGAGGGGGGAAGAGAAGAGATATTCGTTCTTAAGTCTGTGTAACTTGTTCTCTCAGTTGATAAGCTAGCCTGCTGACTGACTAATGAAATCCACAATATATTCAATATGCATGTATGTGTCAATCAATCATTTATTGCAAAAACACAAAACACAGTGCCTTGACAGACAGACAGACAGATAGATGACAGACAGACAGACAGACAGACAGACAGACAGATGACAGACAGATGACAGACAGACAGACAGATGACAGACAGACAGACAGATAGACAGATGACGGACAGACAGAGAGACAGACAGACAGATGTATGACAGACAGACAGATAGACAGACAGACAGACAGATAGATAGATAGATGACAGACAGACAGATAGACAGATAGACAGATAGATAGATAGATAGATAGATAGATAGATAGATAGATAGATGACAGACAGGCAGGCAGGCAGACAGACAGATAGATGACAGACAGACAGATAGACAGATAGATAGATAGACAGACAGACAGAGAGACAGACAGACAGACAGACAGACAGACAGAGAGATAGATAGATGACAGATAGACAGATGACAGACAGACAGACAGACAGACAGAGAGACAGACAGATAGATGTATGACAGACAGACAGACAGACAGACAGACAGACAGACAGACAGATAGATAGATAGATAGATAGATAGATAGATAGATAGCAGACAGACAGACAGATAGATAGATGACAGACAGACAGATAGATAGATGTATGACAGACAGACAGACAGACACACAGACAGACAGATAGATAGACAGACAGACAGATGACAGACAGATAGACAGACAGACAGACAGATAGATAGATAGATAGATATATAGATAGATGACAGACAGACAGACAGATTTATAGATAGATAGATATATAGATAGATGACAGACAGACAGACAGATTTATAGATATTATGACTAAATCATAGTGATGATGATGATGACACAGGCCATTCTTCTGTATGTTACATATTTACATGTCACTTCCGCCATTGATTAATATCAACCGTTTAAAGATCACCGGCAACTGTACCGCATTCAGTCGACGCGTCGGTGTGTCGGCGGGGTATCACTCTGTGATCACCTGTTTACGCTTTTATCACCGCGTATTCGCTTCTAAATGCAAACCTAAGCGGTGTGTGAATGGTTTTAGACCTTTAATATCCTGAAAACCGCGTCTGTTGGTATATTAGGCTAAAAACAGTCGCGTGCCGGTGTATTTACCGTTGATTTGGCTTACCGTCACGAGGCGGAGATGCAGGGCTCGCGCTCTCAGATGCTGCTGCTCGCGAGCGCTATGACGTCAATCCGTCTCCAGATTGGACGCTGACGTTAATGGTCTACAACGAAACGCGTAACTTAAAAGATCAGAAAAGACTTGTAACTGTTATGCAGATGTTGGTGGGTTGAGACTGTTATGTTTTATTTTAGAGTTATTTATTTGTTTTCCATAATACGCTGATGCAGCCAATCAGCGTCGTTGTGGGTCTGTGCGTCACGCAGAACAGCGCGCGTGCTTTCTGAAGCTGTAGATGCAAACAGTGATGTTTTGTGACTGAACACGTTTATATGCACAGACGACTGTGCTTATGTCAGATCTTTTCCCCAAATGAGCCGTTATGGAACATACAAAAAATGCATGATTAGGAAATAATAAGCAGATTTTTCTTACATTATTATTATTCAAATTGCATGGAGGCAAGATTAGTGTTATTGTCAAACACAAAATCTAATAAATACTTCTTTTTTTTTTCCCGTATGTATGAGACCCACCATCTAATTAGAAATCGTATTTATATGCACAGACGACTGTGCTTATGTCAGATCTTTTCCCCAAATGAGCCGTTATGGAACATACAAAAAATGCATGATTAGGAAATAATAAGCAGATTTTTCTTACATTATTATTATTCAAATTGCATGGAGGCAAGATTAGTGTTATTGTCAAACACAAAATCTAATAAATACTTCTTCTTTTTTTTCCCGTATGTATGAGACCCACCATCTAATTAGAAATCGTTCTCATGTGCTTCATCTTTTATGGCTTTGTCAATATACTATTTATTTATTTATTTAATGGTATTGAAAACTATATGCGTGTGTGTATACACACATATATATATACTGTATATATATATATACACACACACACACACACACACACACACATATATATATATATATATATATATATATATGTTGAACACATAATATTACAAACAAAAAATATTGAAAATAATATTAATATGAATTCAATAATAATAATGATTATTATTATAATCATAAGTAATAATAATAATAAAGACAATTTTAAAAGAACACACACACACACACACACATATATATACACACATACATACATACATACATATACATATATACTGTATATATGATAAATAATAGTGATAAAATTAATTAGTGGTAAAAAAAAGTATATGTTGCATATACACACACATACGCTCATATTTGTTTTGAAAAGGGTTGTATGTTTTCTGTATGTTTATTATTATTGAACCCTCTCTTGTTATTTTTTTTTCTCTGTGGAAAAAAAATGTTGTTCTGATCATGGACTCGAAGTAAAATAAAGTTGAGCTGTTTTGAATGAACATCTACCGTAAAGCAATCTAAGCTGTCGCAATCTACAGTCGTAGAGGCAACGATCGCCATGACGACCAGTCTCCCTCAACAACAAACACACACGTGAAGCAGCAATGGCGACCGCCAGCGATGAGCGAGCTGCAGCGGATGTTTTAAAATCTCTGGCTCGCCATTTGAACTGTCTAAACGACGACAACAAAAGCGCGAGAAGGCGAGCTCTAGAAGCGGTGAAGAGAGAAACCGTCGAGCAGCGCTTGTCCAGCGGCGCGCTGCAGGAGCTTTTTGCCGGTTTGCTGAAGGCGCTGCTGAAATGTCTGTCAGATCCTGCGGAGACGTGCAGGTACACGGCGGTTCAGATCCTCACGGGCTTTATCAGAGCTGTCCCCAGACCAGAAGACGCTCTGCCCTACCTCATGACCGCGCTGGCGCAGAGGCTCGGCGGGAAGGAGATCCTGGAGCCGGCGGAGGAGCTCAGGCTGGCTCTGATGGAGACGCTGTCTCTGGTGCTGGAGGAGGTGTGCGGCAGGCAGCTGGCCCCCTACCTGGACGACATGATCAAGATCCTGCAGAGAACCATCACAGATCCCTTTCCTGAAGTCAAGAAAGAGAGCTGTAAATGTGCCATCAGTGTTGCACAGAGCATTCCTGGTAAGTGGGGCCCTCAAACTGTTGATATTCTTTAAAAGACAGTTGAGATACAGTAAATATGAAAAAAACAAATAAAGGTAATATCATGTCAGTTTGGTTTCATTATACAGAAGTTAAGTGGCAAACTGATCTTAGACAAAGACTTTGGCTTAGATGGGTTGTTGGTTGTCACGGTAACAAGGCCAGACTGATGACCCTGACCAAGACCTAAAATTAACACTCGGCCAAATGAGAGTAAAAAATATAAATTAGTATATTTATTCATTCTAACAATGCCTGAGATTGTGATTTGGTTTATGCAAGATGTGCCAAACATCCACCCCAAGTTTAGAAATCAGTTTTCAACAAAAGAAACGCATTTTAAAAGAGAAGTTTCCCTGTGGTTTTAGATGTGTTGTTAGTTGTTGTGCTATTTTATTCTAATATATATATTAGGGCTACACGATATTGGAAAAGACATTGCGGTATTTTGTTTTTCTGTGATGTATGTGCGATATGAAAGAGAGAAAAAAATCACCAGATGACTTGAATAGCTCTATTTGGAAAAAGAAAAATGATTGGAGTGATTTTGTAGGTGAGTAAATCAGCATAATAGGAAATAAACAAATTACAAGCATAGAATAATTATAACAGTAAGTGTAACTGTATAAGTAACTGTAGTAATAATAATAATAATAATTAGTATTATTATTATTTCATATAACAACAGTAAAATTACAATACTAATAGTTATGGTTATTTTTTTATTTGCTTTAAACATTAAATCATTGAGCATTTATTTTGGTGGAAAACTGCAGGGAAACCATATCACATTTCCAGGTATTGTAAGAATTAATAAATATACTCGCCATCAAATTTTTTTTACTCATATTTGGCGTTAATTTTGGTCAGGGGCATGTTATCATGACAACCAGCAACCCATCTAAGTCCTGCTTGCCACTTAATTCCAGTAAAATTCCTTTATCTATCTATCTATCTATCTATCTATCTATCTGTCTGTCTGTCTGTCTGTCTGTCTGTCTATCTGTCTGTCTATCTGTCTGTCTATCTGTCTATCTGTCTGTCTGTCTGTCTGTCTGTCTGTCTGTCTGTCTGTCTCTGTATCTCTCTCTCAGATCATTTCCACCTGCAGGCCGAGAGTCTTCTGAAGCCCCTGCTGCAGACGATTTCTCACCAGCATTCCCAAGTGAGAGTTTCTGTCACACAGGCCATTGGCGCAGTCATTCAGCACAGCACAGGCAAGAACGTAGATGAGGTTTTGTCCCACTTGGCACAAAGATTGTTTGACGACTCTCCACGGGTAAGCTGGCAGCCGCTTCGCTGAAAAATCAATGAATAACAAAGAAATCAAATGAAAGAAAGTTCTTGATTGATGCGTTATTTAATAAATGGCTTATCTTTGGTATCCTTCCAAGAAATTCTTCTGCTAAATATGAAATATGCTTGCTGTCTTACAAGGCACATTGGTGGTGTTTTTTTCCACATGGGAATGGTTTATTTTTGTGCTAATCTGTTCAGGTGAGGAAAGCTGTTACTATAGTTGTGGGTAATTGGCTTCTCCATCTGCCGGACCGATATTCCTACTTCCACAAGCTCATCCCACTGCTTCTGAGCAGCCTCAGCGATGAGATCCCTGAAATCAGGTCAAAACAAATGCACAATCATGGAAATAGCATTGTTTTCCAGGCCTTTTAAAGTCATGAAAACTAGTACAATTCATTTAAATGTATATACTGTCATTAAAAGGTTAGGGTTTGGCTGCATTTATTAAATCAAAAATAAAAAGTAGTAAAAAGTAGTAAAAACAGTTTTCTATTTTAAAACGTCATTTATTCCTGTTATGTTAAAGCTGAATTTTCAGCAGTCTTCAGTGTCACATGATCCTTCAGAAATCATTCTAATATGCTGATTTGCTGTTCAAGAAACCTTTCTTATAATTATCAATTTTGAAAACAGTTGTGCTGCATCATATTTTTGTGGAAACCATAATCTACTTTTTTTCAAAATTCTTTGTTAAATAGAAAGTTCAAAAGATCCGCATTTATTTGATAACATAAATAAATCTTTTGTAACATTATAAATGTCTTTACTGTCACTTTTTAACAATATAATATTTAACAATAACAATATAATTTGGATAAAAGAGTCTGCTAAATGGCTAAATGTAAATAATGCATCCTTGCTATATACAGGTGCATCTCAATAAATTAGAATGTTGTGGAAAAGTTCATTTATTTCAATAATTCAACTCAAATTGTGAAACTCGTGTATTAAACAAATTCAATGCACAGCGACTGAAGTAGTTTAAGTCTTTGGTTCCTTTAATTGTGATGATTTTGGCTCGCATTTAACAAAAACCCACCATCTTTGAAAAAATTTATTTTGATTAAAAAAAAATTATTTTCTTATACAAAATTTATGATTTTGTGATTTATAAATAAATTCATTCAGGTCTCTTGCTGAGGACTTATGGAAACAAGTAGGATCTCAATGGGAGAAGGAAAATGAGGATGATCTGAAGGATAAGATGGACTTTCTGTTGCCTGCTCCTGTCCTCTACACATCTGGAGGTAGGACAAACTAATCACAGAATGACTTTGATTTAGAGATGCACCGATTGATCGGCCAGGGATCGGAATCGGCCGATTTTCCTCATGATCGGCCCGGACCGGTGACTGGCTGGTCAGTCTCACTTCTTTCCGATTTCGAGCCGATCCGTTTTGTTACTAGCGGCACAGGTATTAACGTCAGCTGCGCATTCTCGCTCTCTTCTCTCCGACGACCCCTTCTCTCTCTCACACATGTCTCATTCGCTCTGGTTAAATAGTGCTTGTATTGTGCATTATTTTAGTCATTCCCGCAGGTTTCGTGCTTACACCAAACGCGCGCGCACCACCAGTGATCAATATTAGTGGAGCGCACAATCCGCGCTCAGTCTCAAACAGCTTGTGAGCCACAAATACCAAAATGAGTGGCTAACTGCGCTAAAACATTCAAATACATACAAAATTATGTCAAAATGCCAGTCTTGGCGAGTATCCAGTTAAACGCAGTCAGTTTTGGAACGTTAAATAGTTGAGAAAGAGAATGCATGTTGTGTAACAGTATATTGGGTCCGTGGATAAACTCTTAAAGGGACCGCAGTCCAATATTCCTGCTGCTGTCTGT